GGAGGGGGTGACTCAAAGAGGGGGCTCTATCAAAGTCATCAACTCAGCAGAGATGCCGATCGACGGAGTGGCTAAGGGAGTCAAAACCAGCATTGGGGCATGGTCAGGTAATTTAGATTTCTCTGTCATTCCTTTGGATGATTACAAAGCTGTCCTGGGAATGAACTTCTTAGAACAAGTAAGAGCATTCCCAATGCCATTTGCCAATAGCCTATGCATCACAGAAGGGAGTCTAGCTTGCTCAATACCAATAATAAAGTTAAGCAAGCAAGGATCCAAAATGCTATCGACAATCCAGTTCAGGGATGACATTTCACAGGACAAGGGGGACAACTTGGCTATCCTTCATAACAATGAAGGAGAAAAGTCCCAAAGAGTTGGGATGCCAAGGAACGTGGTGGAGGCAAGAGATAAGCCGCCATCCAGGAAGATGTGTTGCACCAAGGAGAAGCCAAAGATTGCCAAGTGTGGGGGCAAATCGAAGAGGCAGTTTCGAAGGTGCAGGGGAAGCCGCAATGAGGGCATTGCGGGTTTAAGTGGGGGAGAGTGTCACGCTCCGCCATATTCGAGAAGTCGTCAAGACGAACACGAGATGGAAGATTCTAGAGACGGTCAGGATATAAAGAGTCATCAAAGGGGCTCTAGAAGATTCCGCCACATTCAGGAGAGAGCAAGAAGGAAAAGCTTTAAAGAGAATCTAAGAATAACCTAGAATGTTCTAGAGTTATGTATGTACATAAGAATAGTTTAAGAGATAGAATATTATATTATAATCTTGAAACTTCTCTTGGACTTGGAATAGTCCCACATTGGCTAGATGAAAGGCCAAAGACATGGAGGAGGCTATAAATAGAAGCTCCTCCCCTCATTTGTATTCACCCAAGCATTGAATCAAAATATTCTAGTATTCAAGTGCTAATTATTCATTTCTCTCTATTATTCTTCTTAAGAGTGTTTGGGGCTCATAAGTCCAGTGTTGTGAGGGGTAAGGCTGATTTAGTGCTAAGAAATAGCGCTAAAGCCGCACGGGTGACTTGAGGAAAGTTAGTCTGTGACACGTGCCTGTAAATTTTCCAAAAAAATGCATGTCCAAGCATTGTTATATAATTCAAAATTATACTAAAAAAAATTCTTATTAATACCCATCTTTTGTCCATTAGGTGATTCGGTTGGCTTTGGTCTTGTTGGTTTGGCTCAAACAACATCACTCGTTCAGACAAGTAGGCCTCATAATCTTCTATCAATGAGTCATACACTTCACTTCTGGACTGTTGGATCTTAGCAGGATTAGCATTGGTGCATTTTCAATGTGCATTTTTTAATTTACCGATTCTCTTACTTATTAAAAATGACGTCATAAAAATAAGAGAATAAAATACAAAAGTAAATTTCATTTATTGTTTAATTAATGTCTCAATTATTGAAATCCCTCGATTTGTGCATCTTTGTAAATTACTTTTGTATAAAAGCTAATTTCATTTATTGTTTAATTAATGCCTCAATTATTGGAATCCCTTGATTTCCACACCTTTCTAATTTGCTTTTGTATGAGAGAAAATTTCATTTATTGTTTAATTAATGCCTCAATAATTGAAATCCCTTTATTTTCATACCTTTGCAATTTGCTTTTTTATGTTTGTATTGAATGATCTTGTGATGGGCGCCTAACTGTGATAATTGATTGGCCATTAATGTTAAGAATGTTTTGGTAGGTCTGTTAAGTCCACGCGACTCAATTCTTATACTCCATCTCTTGGCCGCTCATTTAGGTCGTCGCTTTGGACGTGTCACACTTTACATTGGATGTATTAAGTGGATCTGGCAGTATTCATGTGGGTAACCATCTACACTTGTTGTCGTGATAATTCGTATGTTAGCTACCACAAAACTTATCGCTAATGGGTAGGAATCTTGACTCCATATTTTGTCATTCTAAGTTATGAGCATGAGTTTTCATAATGCATGAGTGTTGTGGGTCGAATCTTGTGTGTGATTTATCAAACAAACATGTATTCGTCATTGTTAGTTATTCAGGAAATTTTGCTAATTAGAGGACGTTACCAGTCATTATAAGTTTTGCCACTCGGGTGGAATCGTTGTTGGTGGGTTGGCCCGAGTTCTCTTTAACCATTGGTCAGATTTTGTTGACCCCCTACATGAACTTCTCAAGTTCTTGGAGTGTCGATTGGACCATGGGATATCATGAATAATTAGAAAAATTTTACTTTATTTTTTTTGTATAAAATCAACAATAAAATACAAAGGTAGGACCATATCCCATTTTTATGGCTTGGTCTCCAATCTTAGCCTTGGTTGATCCTTTTCTACGGGCGACGGGTAGAGAATTTTACTCTGGAGGAGATAAAATTGGAGTTATGAGTTAATCCTAATATGTGGTTGTTGGCCGCTCCATAACTCGGCTAGCGTCTTCGGTCATTGCAGGCACAACGAGCATCAGAAGGGTCCTTCCTTCATCCCTTGAGTGAGGGCAACATGGGTGACCGTGGGTTCCAGATCGTGCAGTTCCAACATCTTCTTTTGAAAGTGTGATAACCGAGCGAAGGCTCTCACTGTGTCCCAAACAGATTTACAAAAGGGTCTGTAAATTTTTTTTTTTCTGATATCTGTGCACTTTCAAATTGCGCTATAAATATTTGCTTGAAACCGACAAACGATACAATGCTCTCTGTGGTAAACCATTGAACCACCTGATGGCTGACTCCCTGAGCGTGGTAAAGAAGAAACGTCATTTTAGTGCGTCAATGATCTCCAATAAGCACACTATCAACTCAAAAAAGGCTATGTGGTATATCAGATCCATCAGACCATTTAGGATTCCAATGCGGGGATCTTGAATAGCTTTGGGGAATCAACCTCAGAGATTTGTTGCGAGAATGCCTTCTCATGCAACATGGGTACCTCAGTATGTTTGAACTGATATCAGTCAATCGGTGTCGATCCAACACTATTGAATTACAGAGAGTCGCCTTATCTTTCCAAAGCTAGGGTCCCTTATCTGCAGTTGGGCGTCAACCATTTTTCTTAAGATTGTTGATACCTTCCCCATATCATTTTGTTTCAGAAAACATCCAACATTTAATCCTTCGACTCTTGGATCTGATGGGCTACAAATTCTCCAGTGCACTCCATGTTCTTTGTGTCTCTATTGTGGGTTTCTTCTCATTAGGCTGCACATCTTCTTATCTGTGAAACAATCCACGCTCATCTCACCTTTTAAAATGTTAGATCATGGTTTTTTAATTGAATATAGTGGCACTTTCCAAAAAAAAAAAATTTTGCATTCACTGCAGAGAAACACATAATCAAAGTAAACTTAACTTTCAAAATAAATGAGTTAAATTGATTGTATTCACTTTATTCCATATATATAAAAAACAAGAAATTTTTACATACATACCACACAATTTATATTTATTTAAACACCTATTACTTAATATTTAACATTTACACATGTACCATTTTAACCATGCTATAAAAAACACCAAATTTTTCTGTCCAGAGTCCGGACGTGATGACAACGGTCGCGATACAGCGGAGGATCGAACCTCCACACGTCCGGACTCCGTACAGAAAAATTTGGCATAAAAAACGTGTTTCACTTTTTAATGTTTAGCAAGAGCGATATAATTTTTATTGTGATAAAAAAAAAAGATATTGTAAGTGTAATAAATATAAATATTAAAATTCAACTTTTAGACATGTAACTATATAAAAATCATGTAATAATTTAGATAGTTTTTTTACAAAAAAAAAAGAAAAAAAAAAGTTTTATTTTTTTGGAACATGGAATTAAACAAGATGAGAGTTCTACTGGACTTTTTAGCCCTATTTGGTCTTCATTGTAGACTTCCTCTGCAATGAAAGATCGAACTTGGACCTTCCTATCTTTATCAAAATAAATAACTAAGATAATTTATTATATTTAATATATATATGACCGGACTGGATGAGACGTCTACTAATCAGCTAAACATATTTATTTGAGATGACTGACACATTTTCAACAGCAGAATGGTAGATGGGCATGCGGTTGAGGTGGTGGCTCAATGGTCTGGAAGACCATCAAAATGTGAATTTTATGTCTTAATTTTGCACACAGGTCCAAACATAAATAATTTAAATAAAATAATGTAAGAGATATCCAAAATCTTATTTGAAGATATTGAGAACTAGCAGATAGTTCACAATGTAGGTGAAGTTAGAGAAGTTGCTCATTTACTTGATTGGAGAAGACTTGGATTGTGAAGCATAGAATACTGGTGTAGCGAGATGTGTTTAAGTTGTTAAGAAAATAACTTTCCGACGATGGAAGGTCAGATGATGACGAATGAGATATGGTGGTTGGGTTGTAGTGGTTAGACGACGATAAATGAGCTATATGATGGTTGGGCCATGGATAAACTATGATGGTATTCGGGCAATAAGGGTTAAGTAATGATGATCGAGTGACATTGAAGAACACCATACTAATTGGTATATAATTATAAGTTTCTTTTAACTAAAAGAGAGATCATAATGCTTAATATTTAGAAATCCATATTTTTTCACACGACTCGTAGGATTATTAGAATACATTACTAGATAACTCTTTTAAGAATCCTTAGTATTGTTCTTCTTCGTCTCACTTTCAAGTTTTTTGTGGGTAGAGAAATTTGTAGTTCTCTAAGAAACTCTTCACCATAATAAACTTCAAAAAACAAGGCTACGTCATGGACTTGGGCTTAAATTTGCTATATTGAGTTAATGTTGAATCTTCAAAACTCCCCTCCACAGTAGGTTTAATCCTTTGCATCATCCCAAGTTGATGATGGAGGTGTTCAAACTTGTTAGTGTCTTTTTTTTCAAACTTGTTAGTGTTTAATCCTTTAGTGAATAAGTCAACAACTTGATCACTACCTTAATATTATACATCTCTATCTCTTCACTTGGGTTGTCCTATCATGAAATATTATATATATAATATATATA